ACTATTGAAGACCCTGCTCTTATCTTTGATACCCATCTGGTGCTGGAATTAAAGACCTGTGATCCAAGGTGCTGAGATCATCTTTGTGTGAGCTGTTTCTCTTTAGGACTGGATCCATCTTGTGGAGATCTGGGTGGACTTGGACTCACAGAGGTCCATCTACCTCTTAATCCTGAGTCCTAGGGTTAAAGATGTGTACCACCACCTCCTAGCTTCTGGCTGCTGGGATTAAAGGTGTGTGCCTGGCTTCTATGGCTTGTGACTGACTTTGCTTTCTGAATCCTCGGGCAAGCTTTAATAAATCATAAATAATGTATCACCACCGTTGAGCTTTCTCACTGAAGCTGTCTCCTGGAAAGATGTTTCTGTCATGTTCGCAGGCTGCACAAAGCTCTCTGTCACCGTTTCTGCCCTGCTTACAGGCCGCACGAAGCTCTCTGTGGCTGCTTCTGCCCCATTGTCTTTGTGGACTGGTGGCCAACAAACTCCGGGAGGGAAAAGGGGACACCACACTATGAGAATGTTTTCCTCCATGACAACGTCTATGCTAAGGTCCACTCTTATCCCTGGAGAACATCCCCCTTTTACTCTGTAATAATTCTGCTTCCTGTCAAGCCTGATGACCTGATTTTGATCCCTGGGACCCATATGGTGAGAGAACCGATTCCTGGATGTACAGGCAAATACAGTCACCTAAGGGTTCAAGTAGACTTGCACATTGGAAGGCTCACTTACTCGTTGGCCCTTGACATTGACCTGTCAATTCAGAGCTCTGCTAGAGCTATGGATTCAGACCTCTGATGTTACCCTCTGATGTTACCCTCTGATGTGAAGGAGAAGATGGGCAGCAAGGCGGGGCAGGAGAGAACTCAAAGTCATGGATTGCTTGGTGCCTTACAATCTGGTGCAAACAAAGCTGCTCTCTCACCACATGTGGCTGTTTGAATGAGAATGGTCCCCAGAGTCTCACAGATTTGAGGATGTGGTCCCCAGTTGGAGCTGTTAGGAAGGACTAGGAGGTGGGGCCTTGTTGGAGGAGGTGTCACTAGGGCAGGCTTTGTGGTTTCAAAGGAACTGTAACACTCCCATGTCTCTGCCTTGTGGTTTCGTTTAAGATTTAAGTTCTCAGCTACTCATTCACTCCACCTTCTGAAACTGTAAATCAAATTAAATGCTTTCGTTCATAGAAAAACACTTTTCTTTATAAGCTGTCTTGGTCATGGTGTTTTGTCATAGCAATAGAAAAATAACTAAGGTGCCTTATCTTTTTTTTTTTTTTTTTGGTGGTTGTTGTTTTTGAGACAGAGTTTCTCTGTGTAACAGCCCTTGCTATACTGGAACTCACTTTGTAGACCAGGCTGGCCTCAAGATCACAGAGATCAGTGTACCTCTGCCTCCTAAGTGCTGAGCTGGGATTAAAGCCCACACCCAGCCACTTATCTTTTAATTGGGCTTTTCATCAATAATTAGGCCATATCAGCCAGGTGTAATGGCTTTCATCTTTAATCCCTAAACTGAAGGTAAGCAGATCTCTGGTTGAGTTCAAGGACAGCCAGGGCTATTACACAGAGAGACCCCTGTCTTGGGGGCGAGGAAGTTAGGCCATATGACTGAGGACGTAGCTCAGAGCAGAGTGCATGAAACCCTGGGTTCATTCATCAGTATCAAGTAAATCTGGTATGGTTGGTGCTAACCCTGTAATCCCAGTAGAGGTAGAATCCCAGGAGGTAGAAGCAGAGGGATCAGGAATTCAAGATTATCTTCAGCTACTTCTTGAGTTCAAGGCCAGCCTAGTGCACATGAGATCTAGTCTAAAAAAAAATTAGCTCATATCCCCACCTCCCTGCTATACATACAATTTATATTTTCAACTGATAAGACTAGCTAGAGCTTCTGCTATTGTGACTTCTCTGTATGATGAATGATGGGTGAACATAACCCCCTTTTCTCCTAAGCCTCTTTTTGTCAGAGTATTTTTTCACTGCAACAGAAATAAAACTCATGCAGAAATTGCTACCAGAAGTAGGGTCATTGCTGTGAAAGGGGGGCAGCAAGGGGGAGCTGTATCAGAAACTGGGTTAGAGTGTGAATTTGTGTGTCTAGCTTCATTCTGCCTGTGTCCTGAAAAACTGGGAAAAGCTGAATTGAGAGATGATAAACTAGCTTGTTTGGCGTTCACGCCCGCAGAGATCAGCACCACTGAAGTAGAATATCCGTGCTACACTGGAACAAAAGGAAGGATGCCTCTTTGGGGTCTTCAGTTAATGAATGGGGGGGGTCCCTGTTCTTCAGAAGCAACTGCGAATGAAAGTGTTTCCTCCAGTCAGCACCCAGGAGTTGATGGAGCCGTGGGCCAAGAGGGCTGAGCTACATCTCCAGCTGGTAGCAAGATTTGGCAATGTCCTAAGCATTGCCCCTAGGACACTGATCTTAAAAGCATGAAAGATGTAAGGCTGAAGATGCCATGGGGAACTGCGGAGACAGGGCTCCATGTGGCAGGGCTGGAAGCTCTAAGAGACATCCAGTAAAGCAGTGAAGGCCAGGCCTCTGTGGCAATGGGGACATGTGACCACCAAGGTGTAGCCTGGGAGAGAAGTTGTGTGAGCTGCAGGTAGCAGGGATGGAGGAACGGGGCTGCCCAAACCTTCTGGAACCCGAAGATTGTATGATGAGGCCCAGATGCTCGACACAGTTGCTGCTGCTGGGGTTTGGTTTTGCTTTGTGTGGTCATTTTAGTTCTCTGTTCTTTTCTTTTGAAATGAGAATGTTTATTCTGTGCTATTATATTTTGGAAGCACATAACTTTGTTTGTTTAGGAGTGAGCTCATAGTTAAGAGACAGAATTTTTTTTTTAATGGTTGTTTTCAAGACAGAGTTTCTTTGTAGCTTTGGAGCCTCTCCTGGAACTTGCTCTGTAGACCAGGCTGGCCTCAAACTCACAGAGATCCACTGCCTCTGCCTCCCGAGTGCTGGGATTAAATGCGTGTGCCACCATCGCCCTGCGAGAGATTGGATTTTTAAAGTATTGTAATTTTATTAAACTATGGACTGTATTTTACATTGTGAGAGAAGCGTGATACTTTTGGGACAAGATGTGAAGCTGTGTTGTGACTCTTAGTTTTGACTGTCAACATGACACAGCCATGACTCCTTTGGGAATCATTTAGACCAGGTTGGCTTCTAGACAATGTCTGTAGGGAAGAGCCCACTGTGGGCGGCACCATCCCGTTCGTGGGTTTGGGTCCTATTCTTTATTGAGTCTAGAGAGGGATGCTGAGCACAAGTAAGCGTGTATGTATTCTCTCTGTTCTTGACTATGGACATGATTTGATTGTTCCTATTCAGACATCCCCTGGCAACACACTATAACTTGTAATTTTAAGTCAAGTAAATCCTTTCTTCCTTAAGGATGCATTTACCAGAGTATTTTTACCACAGCAATGGAAATGCAACTAAAACATCAGCTAAATTCATTATTCTTTACTTTAATTAGTATTGTTTTGGTTGGGGCTGGGTGTCATGTATCCAAGGCTGGTTTTATGGTGATATTTTGTTTATGATCTAACAAATAAAGCTTGCCTGAAGAACAGATAAGCAAAGTGGCCAGCTACTAGGGAGTCCTCACTTCTGCCAATGCTCAGATGGAAAAGGTGATCCACAGAGCCTCAGACTGCCCTCAGCTCCTGTCTCCTCCTGCCCCATGTTCCTCTCTAGTGCTGGGATTAAAGACAAGGAATCCCAAATGCTGAGATAACCTTGTGTGAGCTGTTTATCATTAGACTGATTCACTCTCGTGTAGCCCAGGGCGGCTGGCCTTGAACTCACAGAGATCCACTTGCCTCTGCCTCCAGTGTGAGCGATGGAAACACAGGTGTGCACCACCGCCTACACCACCCAGCTAGTTGATTATTATTCTTGAATTAAAAGTGCCATTTGTGTTTTTCAGGAAGGAAAAGAAAGAACTAACATTCATTAAAAATAATTCATTATTGGAGGGGCATGTATGAAACTTTCAAACTAGTAAAAGATTAAACTAAGAGCACAATATGGTGATATACATCCTTAATCTCAGCAACTGGAGAGCTTGACAAAACCAAACTGCCACCCTAGATCCAACCCTCAGCAACACATACTAAATTGCCACATTCACGCTTCTGGTTACATATGTCTGATAATAACAATAATAAAAAATAATAATGAAACACATCCATGTAAACACTTGTGTACAAATGTTCATAGTAATAATTGTTGTGCCCAAGTTGTAAAGTCCCCAGGAAGACAGACCCACTAAACTGCAAAAGCAAGGTCTAATGATTGTTCATCCACCCATGACAGGAACCCCCGTCTGGCTAGCTGTCGAAGCAGATCCCAGAGGGAGTTAGGTTCCCTGTCTACTGCTAGGTTTTATAGACATCAATAGGTAAGGGCTGGTTTCTGATTGGTTGACATTTGGAAACAGGAGAATTTCTCAGTCATATTTTGTCATGAAATACCTGTGTACCAATTATTTTCATTGGTCAGTGCTGAGAGGGAACATTCTGTGGTTTCTATGGCGTTGTTACACAGATACCAATAGTTTTCAGAACTATATCCTGGAGACTAAAGGGGATATTTTGATCCCCCTGGAATTTCTTTTGTGGCCAAATAGTTCCCAGAAACCAAGCATCTAGGAGGCTGGGGTGGTGAGGTGTCTGGAGTTTCCTTGTGTCAGAGGTCTATGTGTCTTTTCTGTAGCCTGTCAAGACACTAAGCACTAAGGCAGGGGGGGGGGCTGAGTGAGGGTCTGGTCCCTTTATTTCTAAATTATTAGAAGTGAAGCCCGTGGCCAGGCGTTGGTGGTGCACGCCTTTAATCCCAGCACTCGGGAGGCAGAGGCAGGTGGATCTCTGTGAGTTCGAGGCCAGCCTGGTCTACAGAGCAAGTTCCAGGACAGCCTCCAAAACAATACAGAGAAACCCTGTCTCAAAAAACCAAAAAAAAAAAGAAGCAAAGCCCTTGAGTTTAGTTTACCCCTTTCAATAATCGTTGTGGCACTAACACAAACATCTCTCAGGTGCTCTGGGGTTACACATAAAGAAAGGATCTATAGGAGCGTAAGGCTTTGGTGAACCTCACAGAGCAAACTTAGGTCTCTTTCTGAGGTTCCCACTTTGCAATGAGATCCAGGCGGCCCTTGTCCCACCACTGCATAACGTAAGATACGTCAATGTGGTCTGGGTCCTCAGGTTGTTGTCTACCATGGTCTGCATCAAGCTGAGAACAGAACGGAGCCTGGGCACCTGAGGAACCCTGTCCTATAATCGGCTGTTCTGGCAAGTGATTCGTGTAAGTCAGAGGGGCATCGGGGTTCTGTCCTTCCTGCACAGCTTCTGGGGCCTGCAGGGTTGCAGTGCCTGATTCTGGGCTCCCAAAGACCCCAACGGAACCCGGAGGAACAAATGCCTGGGATTCCAGTGGGGCAGGTAGGGACATCTGTTCGTTGCAGCAGGGCTTAGAGGAAGGGAAACAACAGGCTGGGGGAGGGACCAGACGGATGTGCTGTTCTTGAGCAGTGGGATGTGGTACTCCATTTGTCCCATCTGATAAATTCATGGGTTCTTCTCTATGCTCGGGATTTAGAATTCTTTGATTCTGAAACCATGTCTGAGGAAAACAAGATATAAACATCATAAAACAAGTGATTCTAACGTTGCAAAATGCTATCCCACAAGCCCAGAGGTCACCGTCTTCAGGGTTGGAGGACGCCAAGGAAACAAGGCTTTCTGAACACATTAGAACCAATGCACGCATGAACTCACAGAGACTGTGCAGCACGCACAGGCCTGTGCCAGATGGGGTCCCAGCACTAAGAGGTGAAGTGGACCCAAGTCCCCATCCCCAACCCAGAAGTTATCTCCAATTCATAACTGCTCCCAAATGAAAAAGTTAGTTTTCTTCAACGTGGGTCTCACTGGGGATACAAACCACTCTTAAGAGCCCATCAGTAGGGGCTGGAGAGATGGCTCAGTGGTGAAGAGCTCGGACTGCTCTTCCAGAGGTCCCGGGTTCAATTCCCAGCACCCACATGGCAGCTCACAACTGTCTGTAACTCCAAGATCTGACACCCTCACACAGACAAAAAAACACCAGTGCACATATAATAAAAATAAAATTAAAAAAAAAAAGAGCCCATCAGTAGATGGCCTGCCCATCAGTAGATGGCCTGCCTATCAGTAGATGGCCTGCACACGGTGAATTCAGTGGCATCTTTGTCTCAGAATATATTGTCAGGGCATTTTTTTTAACCTTAAAAATACTTTTCATATATAATATGGCAGTATAACAAAAGTAACACACTCTTACACAGTTAAAGTAATATTTTGCAGCATAAATAAATGTAAAACGTCTTTGCCTAGTTAAAATATTATTCCATGGGCTGGAGAGATGGCTCAGAGGTTAAGAGCACTGACAGCTCTTCCAGGGGTCCTGAGTTCAATTCCCAGCAACCACATGGTGGCTCACAAACATCTACAATGCAATCTGGTATTCCCTTCTGGCATGTAGGCAGAACACTGTATACGTGATAAATAAATCTTAAAAAGAAATTATTACACAACAGAAACCCTCAAAATAGGGTCTCTGGTAGTGGATCAGTATTTATCCCTAGTGCATGAATAGACTTTGGGAGCCCACTCTACATAGAGGGATACTCTCTCAGCCTAGATACACAGGGGAGGGTCTGGGCCCTGCTCCAAATGATATGATTTTCTTTGATGATCCCCCATGGAAGGCCTCACCCTCCCTGGGGAGCAGAAAGGGGATGGGATGGGGGTCAGTGGGGAACAGGGGAGGAGGGGATGGAGAGGGAATTGGGATTGATATGTAAAAGAAGCTTGTTTCTAATTTAAATTAAAAAATGGAGAAAAAAACTCCAAACAAACAAACAAAAAAAGAAAGTTACCTGGCCCTGGCAAGAAAAAAAGGAGGGAGAGATAAGTTACATATTTTCCAGCTCCCTTGCTTGAGATTCTGTATGGATGCATATCAGTTTTGAAAATTCTTCCTTTGCTGGGATGTGACATTCATTGCTGTGTGTTTACACCCAGAACCTTGCCATCTTTGTGTACACCCAAGATAGCCCAAAGCTTCAGTTACATCTTTAGGAGCAATGTTTCTTACAACAGTGACTCAGTACCACCTACTCCAATGCAACTTACTTTAATTTTTGATTCCTTGATGCCTATTTTAATAGCCATTATTTTCCTGGCAGCACGGTCAGGGAGCCTGTTCTTCTGAAAGGCATTCCTCAGGAAGCTCTCTTGAGCTCTTGTGAAGGGTGCTTGGTGTGGTCTGGCTTAAGATTACAGGAACAAAAAAAGGGGACTTTCAGGTTCACGTTCATACAGGAACATGCCCACAACAGTTATTCCCTGAATCTCCCTGGGGTGGTAGAAAAGAAGGCTTCTTTGGTAATCCCAAGTCTTGCTTGCTAAGAATCTGCTTGTTCCACACAACTGGGGAACACTGTTTGGGATTTGTTTTGTTTCTTGAGATGGCGGCCTTAATTTTGTAGCTCTGGCTGGTTAGGAACTTGCTACATGGACCAGGCTGTGGTTGAACTCACAGAGATGCAGGAGTGCCACTATTGAAGGTATGAGCCGCCATGCCCCATAATTAATGTTTTCTTTGAAATTCCAGTGCCCAGAACAAGCTGTAACAGGCTCAGGAATGGAGAAATCTTTAGGAGAATTAGATGACAGAGTCATTTTTACTCTCAGTGGGACCCTTGGGACTATGCCTGTCCAGTGAGTTCTTACCTTCAGAATGGACTTGCTCCAAGATCTTCTGTTTCTTTCTGTAGTTGTTAAACCAAATCTAAGTAGAAAAAGATAGCTGGCTGTTTTTATTTCAGAGTTGGCAGTAGATGAGACTAGACCTCTCAAGATTATTAGTTATATGTAATTATGTGTACTGGTATGTGTACCTATGTACCTCATGCCAAAAGGGAGTGTCTACTCCTCTGGAGCTAGAGTTCCGGGCTACTGGGAACCACATTTGGGTTTTTCCTCGGAGGCAGTGTGCTTTTTTTTCAATGGCTGAGCCATGGCTTTTGCACCTAATTATATTCTTTTTGGTAAGTGAAGAAATTTAACTTAGTTTCATTTTCACATAAGTAATTCTTATCAAACCCACTATCTTGAGACTTGGTAATTTATGGGTGGGGTTAGAGCTCACTTGGTAGAATACACTTACCTACCATACATAGGGCTCTGGGTTCAATCCCCAGTACACAAAAAAGGGGCATGGTGATATATGCCTAATATTTCAGCTCTGAGGAGGGGAAGGGAGGATGGCCAGAGATGTCCAAGGCCAAGTTTCAGAACAGCCAGGCTACACAGAGAAAACCTGCCTTGAAACATGACCCTTCCCCCCCCAAATTAGGAGTGTGCTCACAGTTCCCTTGCAGTTATATATTAAGCCTTTACTCTGCAGTATGTATTCTACTACTTTGCTATACCATTGTCACTATGGTGAGCACATTTCTTGTATTTGCTAAATCTTAAGACATATTTCACTGTGTCAAAATATGATCTAACTGAGCCAGCCTGAACCAGTGTAGTCTCCCTTGTGTCCTCAACACACACACATCTCTGGTGAAGGAAGCAGGTTGTTTTAATTCCAGTTAATTGGAAAAGCCTGCTCAGTGAAGTCCAGATATTAGACACCACCTTTTTCTGAGCCCAACCTTTGTCTTTATGTTGATTCTGACAATAGAGATCCAATGTCTACCTGGACTAATTAATTAGTTTATATTTCGAGATAAGGTCTCATTGTGTAGCCCAGGATGGCCTTCAGCTCACTGTGAAGTCAAAAGTTGGCTCAACTATCGACAGTGTTCCTGTTTTCAGTCCCACATCAACCAACATGTCTGTCTGTTTTTTTTTTCTTTTTAAAGACAGGGACTTCCTCTGTAGCTCAGGTTAGTCCAGAATTCACTATGTAGTCCCAAGTGACCTAGAACTCTTTAATGAGTTCCTAATTCCTGCTGCAACATCCCAAACACAGATATTACTGTCATATACCATCTTCTTGCTTGGCTTCCTACCTTTATTTTAGATCCTGGAACATGAAGAATTTTGGTCAGTTGTTTCAGGGTATCTGCATCAGGATATGGGTTGTGTTCATACCATTCTTGGAGGATATTCTTTTGGCTCTGGGTGTAAGTCACTCTTGGTTGCAAGGATTCTTTTTGTGGTATACCAGATAAAGAACAGAGAGATGGGGAGAAGTGCAAAGAAAATAGAAGTTAAAAATCACAGTGTGAGCACGTGTCTTATACTGACTCCAGACTGAAGCCTGTGGATCCACCCAGGCGGTGTAGTGTCTGAATACAAATCTAGCTCTTGGAAGACATGGGGATATATATGTTTGAGGTCAGCCTGTGTTACACAGTACGTTCTAGGCTCACTTGGATATGTAGTGAGACTTGGTCTCAAAATACCAGCCAAACCACTTTAGGCTCAATTATTGTTCTATATTTTTACCTTAGTCATATAGTTAAGTCATGTTAAATTGAACATAGACATTTAAATATATAGAAAGTAAGGCAGGAAAGGAAGACAGGAGATTAAGGAGATACCGGAAGGGAAATGAGGCTATCATTCAGGTCTCTAGCTAGTGGAGTTGAGAATTTGGTACTAATAAAAAATTTTTTTTGGTGCCAGGCGTTGGTGGCACACGCCTTTAATCACAGCACTCGGGAGGCAGAGGCAGGTGGATCTCTGTGAGTTCGAGGCCAGCCTGGTCTACTGAGCGAGTTCCAGGACAGCCTCCAAAACAATACAGAGAAACCCTGTCTCGAAAAAAAACCAAAAAAAAATTTTTTTTTGGTTTCTCTGTATTGTTTTGGAGCCTGTCCTGGACCTCGCTCTGTAGACCAGCTGGCCTCAAACTCACAGAGATCTGCCTGCCTCTGCCTCCCGAGTGCTGAGATTAAAGGTGTGCACCACCAACACCTGGCTAATAAATTTTGTTCTGAAGACTGCAGTAGTCTTTTTTAAAAGGGCGGTTTGTTTTTTATTTGTGTGTAATGTGTGTTTGTGTGTGCATGTGGATGTCTTCAGGGGTTAGAAGAGGGTTCAGCTCTTCTGGAACTAGAGCTAGAGGCCATGTTGAGCCACCCCATGTAGATGCTGGAAACTGAACTCAGGCTCTCTGCAAGAGCAGCAAGTGCTTTTAACTGCTGAACCATATCTCCAGCTTCCAAAATGCTGGAAACTGAACTCAGGCTCTCTGCAAGAGCAGCAAGTGCTTTTAACTGCTGAACCATATCTCCAGCTTCCAAATTCCTTTTCTGTAGAGCTATTCAAATAAGAATATTAATGTGATCCAGGGGTGATGGTGCACACCTTTAATCTCAGTACTTGGCAGATAAGAGTTAGTGCAAGGCCAGCCTGGTCTACAGAGTGAATTCTAGGACAGCCAAGGCTGCACAGAAAAACCCTGTCTTGAAAAACCAAATGACAAGGATTTAGGAAGCACACAAAATTACAAATAAATCACAAGGGAACAATAGGAACAAGAGGAAAATTATTGAAAAGCAAGAAGTGATACTAATAAAAACAAAAGGGAAAAGAGACAAACCCAGAGAGGAAGTTGGGGAAGATGAAGCAGAGAGTGGGGGAAGGTACAGAAAGACCAGAAGGAAAGAGAGAAAGAAAGACCAGAAGGTAGAGACCCCTTCCTACCTTTGGTTAAGTAGAAGCTAGCTGGTTTGTTGGGGCTGGAGAGATGGTTCAGTGATGAAGAGCACTGACCACTCATGCAGAGGACCCTGGCTCCATTCATGGCACCCACATGGTGGCTCACAACTGCCTGTAGCTTGGGTTCCAAAGGATATACACCCAGGCAAAACACAGATACACGTAAAATAAATCATAAAAACATACATGTGCTACTGGTTAGTGTTCATCCCTGTCCTGGTTACATTGTCATCTTGGCACAACCCAAAATTACCAGGGATGAGCAACCTCAACTGAAGTATTGTCTTAATCCTGTAGACCTGTGGCCAGTCTGTGAGAGACAATATTGACTGACAGTGTGGCACTGGGCAGTCCTGTCCCTAGGCAGTGTTAAGTCTCACACCTTGGGACCAAATGGCTGAGGTGCCTATTTAACAAATCAAAGTGGACCTAGCTGCCAGGTTCTCCCAGCATCCCTCAGTGGCTACCAATTACAGGGTCCTCCTGGTTGGCATACCATGCCTTGTACCCTATATTAAGCACGATCCTAATTAGTCTTAACAATAGAAACCTGGAGTCAGATCTTAGGGTGAAAGCTGAAAAATCAGAGGAGCAGTGATTACTTACCTCTACAAAATTTCCTACCAAACGGTGGGGCAGCCATCCTGTCCCTATGAATTCTCAGACTGATTGGGCAAGGTCCTGTCTCGACTCACTTTATATTCTGTTCCCACCTCCGTAGTGCTAGGATTAAAGGCGTGTGCCTTCTGGGTAGTAGGATGAGATCTCAAATTCTGAAATCAAAGGTGTGAGCCAGGACCACCCTGCTCTGTTTCTCTTTTACAATGTTTCAATCGGTGTAGCCCCAGGTGGTTTGGAATTACTGAGCTTCCTGCTGAAGGACCTAGGGTAATCAGGTCCAAAGCATCTCAACATCCGGAGCTCAATAACCAGACAGTTGGATGCAAACTTCAAGAGGTTTATTGTTCACACAGGCATCTACGGGCACTCCAGCAGCCTTAGCTAACTGAGCACGCCAGGCTTTAAGACAGTTTTCTTTTTATGTACATAATCTTGGCAAGCAAAGCAATAGGGGTATTGTAAGAAGTGGAGCTGCTGCAGGTGCAGATCTTGGCAAGCAATAGGGGTATTGTAAAAAAGCGCGGGCATTCCCGGAGAAACCACAAGGTCAAAATTAAGCTTATGTCAGCAGGGCGGTTTCATGTGTTAGCACTCTGGACCAGATGTTCTTTTTGATCTGACCTTGTTCCCTGCCTAGGGGACCTTGGGGAATTTTCCACTAAGGCAACCTTCTGAGTCTCAAGGGGGGGGGTATATTGAGGTCTTTCACTGCTTCCTCCTCCCAAGAGCTGGATTAAATGTAAATGCCACCACTGCCTGGCCTCTGTAGTTAACTAGTGTCTAGCTTTGCCCTCTGATCTCCAGGCAAGCTTTATTTGTCAGAACACAGACAAAATATCCTACAACAACCCTAAACTTTTTCAGTTCAGGTTTCGGGCTGGGCTTCCCTCCTCTGTAACTGCCTTTCCCTATTTAATCCAACCATTTTGGTTATCCCCCTCTCTTTTGTGCTCACTGCTGTACCTGGTTCCCCCCCCATCTCCTCCTGACTCTCCTCGAATGGCTCAGGGTCATGTCCACTCTGGATTCTCCCAGAAGTCTCTGCCTCTGGCTATGTTGTCCCCCATATCTATAACAAACTTTCTTTTCTACCATACCTAGGACCAGTCCTTTTTTTTTTTTGTGAGGATTTCTCTGTGGCTTTGGAGGTTGTCCTGGAACTTGCTTTGTAGAACAAGCTGGCCTCGAACTCACAGCGATCAGCCTGCCTCTGCCTCCCGAGTGCACCACCAATGCCCGACCAGTCCTTTCCTCCTTATTATTATTTTTAGTCAGGCAGGTGGTCTGGGCTGTATGTAATACTTACTGAGCATGAGCCCGTGAGCAAGCCAGCATTTCTACATGGTTTCTGTTTCACTTCCTGCCCCTGCTTCTCTCAATGCTGAACGATGACTTGGAAGTGTAAAGTGGAATGAACTTTTCTCTCCTTTGTTGCTTTAAGTCATGGCGCTTATTACAGTAACAGAAAAGCAAAGAAGAAGGAACAATCGCCAATCTGGCAGGACCTAGAATGACTGGGAGATGGGCGTCTGGGAGTGCCCGTGCTGGGTTAGTTTGCTTACTTTCCTTGATGTGGGGAGACCCACTTGTGGCAGGACCATTCTGAGAGTGGGGATCCTAGACTGTAAACAACGGAGAGAGAGAGTTGAGCAGCAGGCAAGCACTCACATCCCTCGGGTTCCTGACTTTGACTGCAGTCCGATGATGACCTCTTTTTTTTTTTTTTTTTTTTTTTTTTTTTTGGTTTTTCGAGACCGCATTTCTCTGTGGCTTTGGAGGCTGCCCTGGAACTCGCACTTGTAGACCAGGCTGGTCTCGAACTCACAGAGATCCGCCTGTCTCTGCCTCCCAAGTGCTGGGATTAAAGGCGTGCGCCACCAAAGCCCGGCTCCGATGATGACCTCTTTAAAGTCCCCTGGCACCTGTCCTGACTTTCTGTCAGCACCCAAGTTCAGAGAGCTCATTATCATCCATAAGGTGTTAGTTTGACTTGGCGGCTACAGGATGTTTTGGCCTTGGTGGTCCATGTCTCTTATCTAGATAACAATACACTTGGGCCCAGGTGTGTTTACTCTCAACTCTGAAGGCCAGATGGCAGGTGTGGCTACCAGATACCTGGATAATTAAGGGAAGTAAATCTCTTTGCCCCTTATACATGATACTAGAAGTCTTCTGCCATTTTGCCCTCACCTTTGGTTGAACACATAAGATCGTGAAAGAATAAACTAAGGCGGCATTTGAGTGTGGATTGAATGGCCCTCCTGACAGCTCTCCTGTGTCTCTGTCCTGGACTCTTAACCCCTTTCAGCTGGCCTTTCTGTCATCCACACTCCCACGAAAGGGTCCGAACCTCGGGCTGCTCCACTGGCTCGGACTGCAGCCCCACAAAGACAGCTTCCAACAACTTTTCCCCTTAAGTTAGTTTTTTTTAGGGTATTTTATCACATCTAAAACTAGGACAGAGTATAAGTGAAACACCCTCATGTATATGTTCTATATGTGGTTAGCTACAAAAACCAGGTGTGGCAGCCTACACCCATAATCCCAGTTCTTTGAAGGCAGTGATCGAAAGATGAGAAGTCAAGGTCATTCTGACTCTATACAATGGAGTAAGAGAGTTTTCATGTAGAATAGCCTTAGTTCACGTTGACCTCAGGACGTGCTTGGGAGGGATTTCTTTTCCCCCTAATTGTGTTGATTGAGGTGGAAAAGACTTAGCCTGAAAATGGGCAGCACTGTTCCCTGGTTTGGGGCCTGGGATGTGCGAGAGTGGAAAAAGCTAGCGAGTTCTTAGCATGTATGAATTTATTCTCTCTCTGCTCCTGGGTGGTATGCCTAACTGTCTTGAGTTCCTGCCTTGATTTCCCAGCAATTATGACTATAGCCTTTCTTCCTTAAGTGGCTTTTAGTTGGAGAATTTTATCACAGCAACTAGAACAAGACTAGAACAGATCCATAGCACCCTTGCCTAATGAGAAAAAAAAGAAAAGACACACATATTCGTATACACACTAGTTCCTCTTATAACAATTTTGTTTCTTTATGTGAACCCTGTCTGACACATGCATTTGGATATAGTTCTATAAGAAAAGTATCTTACATTTGTCTGTGAGCCTAGCTGAGTCTTGGGTTGACAGGCTGCCAAGTGAACCAATTATGTAGAAGGCCAGTGATGTGGGTAGTTAAGTTTATTTACATGGGTTTACTTGGCTTACTTACACAGTATGAGTAAGGGTTTGTGTAGATGGAGTTTTCTGTCCTGCCAGGTCCTGTAGCTGTTTAGTTCTAAGTAAACATACAGAGGCTTATATTAATTATAAACTTTTTGGTCAATGGCTCAGGCTTCTTATTGGTTAGCTCTGTCTTAATTATTAGCCCATTTTTGTTTATCTATGTATCTACACATGGTCTTGGGCTTACCAGTGATGCCTGGTCCCCTTTCTTCCTTGGCATCTCTGTGGTAGCTCCTCTCTGCTTTCCTCTCCCCAGAATTCTCCCTGTCTGGTAGCCCCACCTATACTTCTACTGGATACTGCCTGGCTACTGGATAATCAGTGTTTTATTTGTCAACCAATAAGACAAACATATATACAGAAGGACATCCCCTATAAGGTTTGCTTACAGAATATAGATGATGCCAAAGAAACATATCACATCATTTGGAGTAGGGCCCAGGCCCTCCTTTCTGTATCTGGGCTGCAATAGTATTCCTCCATAGAGAATGGGCTCCCAAAGTCCATTTGTGACCTAGGAATAAACACTGGCTCCACTGTTAGAGGTTCCATAGACTGTCCTGGCCCCCTAGCTGGCACCTACATTCAGAGGGCTTGGTTCGGTCCAATGCTGGTTCCCCAGCTTTATGACTAGGGTCTGTGTGCTCTCATTAGGGCAGTTAACTGTTTCTGTGGTATCTCCAGTTCTGTCTTGGTTCATTTGCTCATCTCTCCTGTGGGAACAACAGACCTTGGCCAGAGGCCCACTTCCCCATCAGCCTGGGAGCAGGCAGCTGTAACCGGTAGAAAACATGTTTACCAAAAAACAATCCGGTGTCCCTGAAAACATGTTTACTGGAACAATAAATTCCTGATGTTTTTGGAAGGGCTCGCCCACAGGAACACCCTGACCTTGACCTTTCCAATGACTAACCACCTCTTCCGGACCCCCCACCAACGCATCTGGTGTCAGGGCATATAACCAGCCAGGGTAAGGATAAGAGAAGCTTTCTTGAGGAGCTTTCTTGGGGCCTTCTGGAAGCCTTCTAGAAGCTTTCTTGCACCACCGACTGGTCTCTGTGTCATTAATCCCGACACCCTCCGCACATTCTCCAGCGCTGCAGGCCGGGCACTCTCCTCCCCCTCCACAACTGGGTTCTAGGAGTATGACTCAGTGTTTAGCTGTGGCTTCCTGTTTCTACTTTGATCAGCTATTGGGTCCAGGCTCTAGGAATGGCAACCAAGGTAGTCATCAATCTCATTATAGGGGAAGGGCATCAAAGGCAACCTCTCCACCACTGCCTAGATTCTTAGTTGGGGTTATCCCTGTGGATCCCCTACCATTTCCCCTGTGCCAGACCTCTCTCCCAACCTGTACTGGCTCCCATTATCATGGCATCTCCTTTCTTATCCTCCTCAATTCCTCCCTTCTCAGTCCTCCTGTTCTTCTCCCCTACTTCTCCCCCTCTCCCCTTCCCATCTCCTCCTCTCTCCCCCCATGCTCCCAATTTGTTCTTGTCCCACTCCTCTTCTTCGGGGGACTATGCGTTTTTCTCTTGGAGTCCTCCTTGTTTCCTAGCTCCTCTGGTGGTGTGAATTGTAGGCTGGTTATCCTTTGCTCTATGTCTAAAAACCATATATGAGTGAGTATATACCATGTTTGTCTTTTTGTGACTGGGTTACCTCGATCAGGATGGTTTCTTCTAGTTCCAGCCATTTGCCTGTGAATTTCAAGATTCCATTCTTTTTTTTTTCCACTGAGTAGTACTCCATTGTGCAAGTATACCACATTTTCTCTATCCATTCTTCAATTGAAGGGCATCTAGGTTGCTTCCAGGTTCTGGCTATTACAAACAATGCTGCTATGAACATAGTTGAGCATATGTCCTTGGTGTATGAATATGCATTCTTTGGGTATATGCCCAAGAGAGAAATTGTTGGATCTTGAGGTAGACTGATTCCCATTTTCCTGAGAAACCGCCATACTGATTTCCTAAGTGGTCATACAAGTTT